TCCATCCAACCCTCCCCCCGTCTTAATTTGTACCACGATGGGGGAATTATTTTGCTTGTATGTCCGAGGGTTAACCAATGAGAACGCTTCTCATTTTGTAACTTTGTAACTTTGTAACTTTATTTGATTTACCAAAAAATACAAATAACAATAAAACAAGACAGATACACAAAAGCAAATGAAAGTGGCTAGGAAGCCCAAAAAGAAACCATGAGGCTTATAGAAATTGGGCTCCCTCAGAGTAAAAATAAAGTTAACAGTTACAGTAAGGCCAGGATCGAAAGTAAAATACAATGAAGGTAAGTATAAATTAACTAATTGCATAGACTGAGTAGACAAAATATAAGGTATGGTACACGTAACAATAAGTATAAAAATAATATCAGACATGTGAAGAAATATAAATATTTACTACAAGATTTATAACTAATAATTCATGTACAATTTTTTTTTTCAATTTCGTTTTGAATAAGTGGAGAGAATTAGATTTTTTAATATCATTTTCTATAGAGTTATAATAAGTAGGTCCTTGGAAACTGACAGAAAATTTACGAAGGTTTGTTCTACAAAAAAGAAGGTGAGAATCGTTCGCGTGTCTAGTGGCATAGCTATGGACTTAAAGAAAAATAATTGTTGAACTTTGAAGGCAAAAGAGAATGGTTAAGAGGAAACATAAGTTTACCCAATTCTAGTTTTCTAATATCGGAAAGTTTTAGTAGCTCTAATTCTTTGAAAATAGGGTCTGAATGAGAATCGAAAGTTGTTTTAGAAATAATTCTGATAACTCGCTTTTGCAAAGAGACAAGACGGCGAAGATTGGTTTTGTACGTAGATCCCCAGACAATAATACAATAATGAAGATAAGGATAAAGTTTTTAGATAGGGTTTAGGTAGAAAAAATCTTGCTCTATTAATGACACCTATTGATTTCGAGATTTTACGAGCTACTTAAGAAATGTGCGGTTTCCAAGACAGATGTTCATCAAGGACTACACCGAAGAAGACCGTTTCCTTAACCTGTTCGATTCTCTGTTCATTTATGCATATTTGCATTGGAAAATGATACCTTTTCTGCCTAGGCTTAAATAACATAAAGTTTGTTTTCTTCAGCTTTAAGGAGAGTTTGTTTTCCTTAAACCAAGTGGATAATTTATTAAGTTCGGAATTGAGTTTATCGACCTTAAAGCAACTAGAAAACTTAAACCAACTAAAAATAGCACACGACCTAATCTTAATGAGATTCCTGCGCATTTTATTCATGAGATAAGGACAAAAGGCTATGACGTCATCGGCGTTAATGTATTCCACATACCGCAAATTAATGAGATTCCACTGCAAAAAAGGTTAGTTTCATCCCTCCCGTACTACTGCTGCCAACATTAATTCTTTCCTCGAGAGCGAACTAATTACATTTTTAAGATAAAATGGTGTTATACAAGAAGTAATTACTGATCACCAATAAGAAATTCTGCTTTGATCTTTGATCAAATTCTCTCAACTAATTCTTTAGGAAAAGGTATGAAGATCAGTCTGGAGAATTTGTATGTGGATAAGTGGATTAAAGCGAAAGGCACGTCATTTTACGAGATTATCAATATTTGTTACAATATATGTATTTCGTGATTTGAAATTTAACCCATTCGCTCCTGGAGATTTTGCCTAAAAACGCGTTTTGAAGCTAGTCGAGTGGTTTTCTGGTCACTGTCGTGCTATAAAGAGCTAAAACTTACCACAAACTGGTTTACAGGTCGTACACTTCGCGGCCTTCTGATCCAGATGCAAAATATCAGCTTGCGAAGTTCGGCATGCGTAGAAAGCAAAATTTCGCGTTCTCTCCTCCCTTCTTTTTTCGCTTTTCTTGCCTCATTTTTTTTTTCTCTTGCTGGGCATTTAGTAGGCTTCATTTTGGTGGGAAGAGTTTTTAGGAAAGCTTTTAGGATCTTAGGATTAGGTGAAAGCAAAGGTACGTGAGCAATGGAACAAAATTTTCATGGAGATTTTTTTGGTCAATGTCACGTGGTTTTTTGCTTCTTTCTCAGGTGTCCTTGACTGAATTGTGCTCATTCTGGTATGGTTTGAAAGATCTCTTCACTCTACACAAGTTACAGAAAAGAAAGTTGTCCTTGAACGTTAAAACTGATGACGTCAAAAAGGGTAGAAAGGACCTGGATCCGCACGGGCGGTTACGGGCGGTTCAGGGGCGAATGGGTTAAAGACGTTTCTTTCATCATTTGTAGTTTAAAGCTCGTAGATGACAAGATAAGCAACGTTATCCTGCCCCTTTAATAATGTTTTGTCGCTCCTCTAATTCCTGAAAAAAGTAGTCGTCAGATGTTTTATCCTTACTTTGAAAATATTTTAACAAATTAAGGAAAAAGAACGTGGTAAGTCTGATAAAACCAATATGACACAAAAATGTGGCGAATCGCCTTTCTAAACTTTTCGTATCTTAGTGCGTAAATCACGGGATTCAACAATGAACTCAACAGTCCCGAAACCCTCACCCAATCTGCGGCAGTTGCCAGAGTGGGAGATCTCCTATATTTGTAAAATACATTTTCATAACAAAACATGGTGTCCAGCAGAGGGCAAAAACACTAACAAACAAGAACACTGAAAAAGCGATGTGCCTTTCACGCGTACGAATGTTTTCGGAAAGATTGTCACTGCCTAGCAATCTTTGACTCTCTAAAATAGAAAGATCGAGATCTTGTCGAATCCATTTTCGCACCAAGAGAAATGTCCTTGAGTATATAAGAAACATGAGGGCCATGACTGGAAATCCGATTGAGTCGGTGATTATGAGCCTGTATTCTGCCTCGTTGCATCTATTCAGAAGAGAAAGCAGTGCCACGCACATGGCAATCAGCCATATGTAGACAATGACCAGTCTTACGTGTGAGTGAATCAGGTATTCCTGGCTTTTAAGTGGCGCTTCGACCATGATGTATCGCTCAAATGCTAGTGTTAGTAAAGTCAAGGCAGATGCTACCATGGACGTATACAGCGAAGTGAAGGCCTCGTAGTACAAATTATATGATACATAAAAGTGAGATAAACCCAGTAACAGTTCGCTTGGAATACCTACGATTAGGTCACATACCGCCAGATTCAAGATGAGGTAGTTTGGAATAGTCCTCAGCTCACCGAACGGGTCCTTTACGATTGCGATCACAACCAAAGAGTTTCCAAAGACCGTAAGGAAAGGCAATAAAAAAGCCGTGGCTGCTACGCCGACAGGAACATCTATAACAAGAGGACAGTCCTATGGAAAAGCGGAAGAGTTCTCTGTGAACGCTTTTTGATTGTCTGTGTAACCTGCGCAGAAATATGTCAGGTAAATATCATTACACTTGGCCAATGCATTAAAAATGAACCAAGAACGAGAAGTCCAAAGACTACTGGAAAGCTGATTTAAAACAACGTGTATTGTTTTTTATAACAATATTTCGGCTGGCCATACCGGCCTTCTTCAGGTTTACCAATGTTACTGAACTTATGTGGCAATCATAATATTATATAGATGGAGAATGTCGCAATAAAAAATGTTTAAAAGGGAGAGGCGAAAATGACGTACAATTAAAAAAATGGAAAAGAAAAATACTAAAGAGATGGACTACAATAATTCGTTGCGGCGGCTTAGGCCATGGGATTCAAGGGTCATGGCCTTATCTATCAAATGCGACTCCCTGGCCTTACGAACTGAGTCACGTGAAGAATGAATTTTCTCTAGCGGAATTAACTGCATGTCAGTATGAGAATAGTTAGAGTCAGAGAGAAAGTGTTCAGAAACAGTAGTGGGTTTAGATTTAATGTTAGTTTTGTCGAATGCACGTCTGTGTTCGTTAAATCTGTCCTTGAGACGTCGCTTAGTTTCACCTATATATTGGAAATTACAATGGTTGTGTTGAACCATGTAGTTCACGTTTTTAGTGTTACAAGTAATGTGTGAAGTGATTGAGCGTGTTTCACCTGTAGCGTAAAAGGTATAACGTGTGAGGCCGTTAGTAATATTTGGACAAGTGGTACAATTTTGTCCACAGCGGAAGGAGCCTGGCGGAAAATGATTGTTGGAGATAACGGGTAATTGTGCTTTAACTAAAATGTCACGAAGATTAGGGCTACGTCTGTAAGCAACAAAAGGCGGTTGCTTGAAGGCGTCTTTGCAACGGTTAGAAGAGTGTAAGATGTTAAAATGTTTGCGTAGGATATTAGAAATGCGTGGAAGTGCTGGGTTATATGTGACAACAAATGGTACAACATCGTTAGAAGCTTTAGGTTTAGTCTGTAACGCGTTAGTACGAGAAATATTAGCAGCGCGTAGGAACTGTTCCTCTAGGAAATTATAATTATAACCACGAGCAAGGAAATATGTTTTAAGTTCATTAATGCGATGTTTAGACTTCTGTAGAGCGGATACAGCGGAGGCGGAGGGCTAAGCTGAACGGAATGGCTCTCTTAGTGTGGTGAGGATGGCATGATGAGCTGAGAAGGCGCTGATGTTTATCCGTGGGTTAGGAAATAGATCAGTTTCAATTATACCGTTATGTAAAGACACCATGACGTCGAGAAAAGGAACGTTAGCAAGTGAGTGAGAGCTAGTGAACTTAATAGTGGGATGAATGTTATTGAGATAATCGACGAATATTTTCAAACGATCCGAACCTTCTGTCCAGATAATAAAAATATCATCGATATATCTCCACCATGTGTGAGGCTGCCAAGGGGCGTTTAAAGTGAGAGAGTTGGTTTCGAGCATACCAAGAAAAAGGTTAGCAAAAGAAGGAGCCATTTTAGTACCCATAGCAATACCATGGATTTGAAGATAATGCTGTTGGTTAAATGTGAAATTAGAATCATGCGCAAGAGATCACATAGTGTCTCTGTGGGGATGTGTGTTAGGGCGGATATCAAGAAAATGACGGCATGCATCATTTCCCTGATTGTGTGGAATGTTGGTGCTGGAAATTTGTTGTGAAGCTTGCAAGTATTCTTTTACAAAGTAGGTCATGTGATAATACACTAGAGAACTGTTCCATTCAAAATTTCTTCCTACTCACGTGCCTATGAGCGCATGATTTATTTTAAAAGGGCCAATACAGTTTGACAGCTTTTAAATAGAAGGCCAGCCCTGTGTCTTAATATTCCGACCCCCCTCACATTTTGTGCATTTTCAAAATATCCCCCCCCCCCGGGAACGTAATAAACGATCGGTCCCTAAGAACAGGGATTTCAGGGCGATTTCTGTAACGCAGCGATTTCAGGGCGATTTCTGTAACGCAGCGACTTCCACGCCGATTTCCAAACTGGACAGTCCACATCGGATAGGTGCTCATAATACGGATAGCGTTTTGTGTCGGCACGGAAAGCTATCCTCTGTAGTGTCAACATGGCATCTGAGTCATCTGAGGTCACGAGAGTAATAGGCTCTTTGCATGACTTGATCACGTGACCAACTTTCGATAAACTCGAAAGCAGTTCACTTTTGAAAAATTTTGTTAGGACAAGCTGAAAGAGCATATTAAAATTAAGTGACCTGAGAATTTTCAGCCGTATATCTCAAAAGTAGCGATTGCAACGGCCGCCGAAAGTTAGAAGCATTTGTATGAGAAAAACAACTTTTGCCACCCAGTCACGCTTGCATGGTTTTCCATACAAATCCTTGTAAATTCTAAAATTTTTAAACTGTCGTTAAATCTTTCCTTTACGCATTTAAGGGCTCAAATTGCCTTTATGAATTAAAAGGAGATTTGAGCCCTGTAATGCTTAAGGAAATATTTCCTGACAGTTTTGAAAATTTCGAAATTACAAGGATTTATATGGAAAACCATGCAAGCATGACTGGATGGCAAAAGTTGTTTCTCATACAGTACACTTATGCTTCCAACTTTCGGCTGCCGTTGCAATCGCTGCTTTTGAGATATACGGCTGAAAATTCTTAGGTTACCTGATTTTAATATGCTCTTTCAGCCTGTGCTAACAAAATATTTCAAAAATGAACTGTTTTCGTGTTAATCGAAAGTTGATCACGTGATCAAGTCATGCAAAGAGCCTATTCTTGGGCGAACGGAAAGCTTCCTTCGAGGGTCACATCAAACTGAGCTTTAAACGTAACAGCAAAAACTCGAATACCAGAAATCACACAGAATTGAAAATTGACGTGCGTTTTGACAAAAATCATCTGCATTAGAACTATATAGATTGACCTAATTTTTCGATTCGGGTTCAAATTTTGTTTTAGCTGGCGTGAACGTGCAATTATTGGCCGGCCGGCTGGAGCTTTTGAAGTTCAGAAGCTAAAGTGAAGTGGTGTGTTTTATTCGTATTGTTTTATCCATTTCAGTCTCCGTTTATTAAATCCCGAGTGTCTGTTCATGAATTATTTCGAAAGTGTGTATTTTTTTTTTTTGGTGAACTAGGACACCTGCATATTACAACGATCATGTCAGTTACGAGCATGGCGACCTTTTAGAGCGCACATGGAAACAAAATACGCCAGGCCATGATGAATTTCGACTGCGGAATGCTGAAGTTCTCACCAAAAATCCATCCAACTCCTGCATTTAAGTTTAAACTAGCGAATTTACGCCATCAGCCGTCTGTCCAATCTCATCGCACCGCCAAGATGTGATTAGTGGATCATTTACCGCTCTGATAATGATCGTGTTTTTCTCGCATCATCCAGTGTTGCCTCCCAGGTCTTTATTTGCAGTACCAAGTCCAATACTAATCAACAATGGCGTTATTAGAGCAAAAAAAGACAAAACTTCATTACCTGGATAGAACATTACTGAGGCCCTTATATTTCAATGCTCCTTGGCGAGGGGGGGAGGGGGGGTAGTCCCGTACATTACCTATATGGGTATGTGCCTCCCAACGGGGTAGTGATTTTGAAGATCCTGGTTTAGAACAGAGTATCCATTTCAGAGGCGTTTTCTAGAATTTCGAACGCACGAAAGGTCCAGTTTTGTAAGCAGCCATTTGAAATTATTCGAGGACAGATTGCTTTTTTGCTTTTTGTTGCTTTTAAAAATACGGTTCAATGCGTTAACAAGCAAACTGTTATACTCTTGTTGCACCCTAAAACGGAGTATAAAAACTTGGCCCATTTCTAGAACGGGGTATCAATTTTAGGGGAATTTTTTGTTAGAACGGGGTGCCAATTTGGAGTCCTGGACGGCACATACCCACCCAAAAAATACTCAAGTGCCCCCCGGCGCAACTCTAGACTGGTGTTAACTTCAACGATATCGAGTGAGATAGAAATTCGATCTTTACAAGAAGAGCCCTGCGCAACAGGTCCCACAGGCCACAGGATTTAAATTTTCCTGACAGATTTTTCACAGTATTAATAAAGTAGATGAGAAAGTAACTCAGCCATCATTTATAGTTTTCTGCAATCAGCAAACGCGCAAAACATTTTTACGGTATTGATAGTAAAAAGGAGAGTTTGTAAAAGTGCCAACGAATTGTGTTACAGGCGTTACAGCAAATGGGTTTTCCGATCCCAGAATCCTACGGAGAGCAGTGGAAGTGTCACACCATGGGGTTACATGGGAATGGAATTCCTAGATGGTGTAAATTATTACGGTATACTCCTGGCATTCATGATGGTACTAGCGACTGATAACGATCTTACTTAAAAAATGTCCTGATTTTTCCACTTCTCTTCAGGGAACAAGTCGTTCAGACATGTTTCATCGAAGACTTGATACGGGTGCATCATGTTACATCACGATTAATATTCATTTCCCACTGGAGATTTCACGCTTCCTTTCTCTGTTTTAAGAACATTTAAAACGTTTGTCAAAAGAGAATACACCCTGAATATGTGTCTGTCTTACCTGAAGATTAGTTTTCATCTCTGAAAATTGCAGAACACTGCCCGTTTCGTGGTATTACAGACTGATGTAGAACTCACGAAACTTGAAACTGTATGGAAACTTACCTTTGAAACCCATGTGTTTAAAAGCAAGCAGTCTAAGTAATGTACTGCCTTCTCGTCAGTGTAACTCACTCTATGTATTTGGTATGTTTAACTGTGTTCGGCAACTACATCCATCAGAAATGCCTCTTCCGCTTTTTCAGGGAATTGTTACGAGAGGTCCAGTAAAATATCTGGAAATTGTGGGAAATGTTTAGTGACACTAATTAAGCCCAGACATATATCATATATGGAGAGGTGCAAATTAAGTTCTTAGTCCTAGGGTGGCAGGTTACCAGCAGCACTCTGGTGAGTACTTCCTGGATATGGGTATGTTTCATTGTATAATTTTAACTACATTATAATGACGGTGTGAACAAAAACGCCAACGTTATTAGCTGGAGGCTTCATTGGACAAAATAAAGTGATTTGTATGAGATTATCCTACTGAGCCTCGACCTCATTTCTTTATGTTAGCTCAATAGAGAGGAGAAGTATGACGTCACTTTACCATGGTAGCACTATTTCTGGATGACAACAAAACCAACGACAGCACCGAGGGCAAGGAGAATGGCAAAAAGTAATAATATTATAATATATAATATAAACATATTATGTTTGTATTAACAAACAACAACTTTGCACGCGCATGACGCTATTATGTACATTTTGTACACATGTACGACATGAAACTTCCTAATTTCACACGCCTGGTTTGTGGATTAGGTGAACACAGCAAAATAATTGTCACTTTCTTTTAATAAACTTAGATAACGATAGGTACGGCCACAAAGAAAATTTCGCCAAGATTTGTCAAATTAAATAAAATTGAATAAGATCGGTGAAGTTTGAAATAGTGCGAATAGACTTTTAAGTGACTTTAACTGTTTGTTGTCATCCAAACATTTTGCTACCATTGCAACGTAACGTAACGACTTCTTCTCTCCATAGAGCGGAATGCGGCAAAGGTCTACTTGGGTTAGCTTACTTCATTTTTCCACAAATGATAAGGGCTACAACTTCTTCTTTACCTGGACACAATCGACACACTGGAGTTCTTTGAGAAGTTAGATGTTGTAATGTGTTTACCGCGACGCACTTAGGAGATCGTAAGAACTCGTTTAAAGGTGTCTGTGCTTTCCAGATCGAATTGGAATTTGGAAGTGTTGATTTTTGAGGAGAGAGGAAAAACTGGAGTACTCGAAAAACCTCTCGGTGCAAGGGAGAGAACCAACAACAAACTCTACCTACATAATTATAGCCGCTGACGCTGGAATTTGAATCCAGGCCACATTGGTGGGTGGCGAATATTCTCATTAATGCACCCTTGCTCCTCGTTCTTCTAGAATTTCCCACTTCCTTTATGCTTGTTGCACTTTTCTCTCCACCAGTAACGATTACGTTAGTAACTCGGTGCTGGTCTGCCATTCTGCGCGATGCATGTCATGGAAGCCTCCAATTCCTCTAAACGTACACAGCCCACGACGCCAATCACCACTGGCCTTCCACTATGGTCTTCCTCTCCCACCTTCACTTCCGGCCACTTAGATGTAGATTCCATGCGCCATCAACAGTCTCTTTGTTTTCTTTCTACACTTCAGGGTCAGGTCTGAAAGCGCAGTATCGCAGTACTGCGATAACGGTTTCACGTTACCAGTCCGCTCATATTTGACTTAAGATTCACGGGTGGTAGCCATGCGGGGGCCATGTTTGTTTTAGTTCATCCACTTAATCCTATTTTAGCTGAGAAATTGTCTTCAAAAATACATTTTTTTTTTAATAGAATTCGGTAATCAATAAGCAAAAGAGTTCTAAAAAGTGGTTTTTCTTCTTAAACGTGGGATTGTGAGGTTTTAGAGTGAAAAAACATTGCGGTAAATCACTTACCTCTGGAGCGTGGTCTAGCCGTATAAGGTTGAGCCTCAAACCGCAAACCTGACGGCAAGGCCCTGGTCACGTGACTTCTTGACGCTTGCGGTTCGCGGGAAATGCCGAAAAACCTCAATCTTAAGGTCTCTAAAGTTAGTACTTTTATTTTTATTTTTCCCTTTTTTTATACAATTCTTTATTTCATATTTACATACAAGGGAAAAATTACAAAAACTGTAGAAAACTAGAAAAAATTTAAAAAAAAAACCAAACAAACGAACAGGACAGTTAAAGTATTAAATCTTTTAATCTACAGAGCGCCACCTACAGTTCACTTCCACAGAATAGTACATTCGTTTAAAGAGGGGAGGTTGTTAATCGAGACCATTTGTTTTTAAAAGTGTCTAAAGAATTATGGTCTTTTGCAATTTGCCTTTCTATTTCCACAGTACGTTGAACTGTTTGTATGTACATTTGGACATTTGAGCGCATATCTCTTTGTTTACTCAAAAACTGGGTCCTTCTCACTATAATTTAAGTTGGACCAGTATTCTATAATCTCTTTTAAAAAGGGGTCTTTTATTTTCAGCTGTGATGCACCTTTTTGTTTTAAATTGCACAAGAACAATGATTTCCCGCCGTATCTCTCCAAGTAGTAACCGAAAAAAGCTTTCCATTTAGCTTTGTTCTCTGTGTTTAGGTAGCTTTGAACCCATTTCGTTTTCAATGATGCTTTAAAACTTTGTATATCAATCAAAAGATAGTAATTTTAAGCGTGACGAAGCAATTTCCCCTGTTTAAACAAAGATCGCGTCTTAATCCTATTAATATTCACGACCAAGAGACGGGAGTGGGTGTGCAGCTCAAACTGTGAGCCTGAGTGTTTATTGCCGTCCAAATAACATACAAAGTTCAACATCATAACTAAAGAATGGTATACAAATATTCCTAAATAAGGTCACTCAGGCTAAACTATTCACCTGTGCTGCCTGATACGAAAACCCATACACCCAATGAGAAAAAAAAAATGGGAACGTATTCCCCAACCGATGCGGTCGCACGACCTCTGCGGGTTAAAGGTAATAAATCAACGGTTAGATGAATAAAGCAAGATATAAAAATAAAAGACGATAGTTCTAGAGTTGAGATGAATACAGCTGTCAAAACCTTATATACCTGACAACAATAGAGTCAATTAACGCCATAGCGGCTCACGTGCGTTCATACCAATAGGAAAGTATTTACATTCTCTGTCGCTGCCACTACGTTTAGCTCGCCGAATGTAAACACATTATGTCTTAGGTCTTTGTCAAATGGATGTGTGAAACGGGGTCAGGTGTTCAGTTTTAAAGACGTGTAGTCCGTGCCGTAGAAGAGACGGAAAGACCGACCCCCAGGAGGCAGCCGTTATATATTTGCGGCAATTGCAATGTACTCAGAGTACCTCTTTCGAATCAGCCAACAGTCCAAGCAGACGGCGTTCAAATTACCTCCAGTCATTCTAAGACCCAGGCGCACGCCATCGACAGACAATACGTACTGTTACCTATCAACAGAAACCGTCCTGGAAAGGGCATGACTATAATATCAGTTTGTAAATATAAACACGTGTCAAATCATGACTAAAATTTTAAACTTTGACAGGCTCTTTAATGTACACTAGAGGTTACGATATTGAACTATTTTGCTTTTATTGTTTAGTGTATCCAATGCAATATATTGTAATGGGATACATGGATCACAAGTAGTGAGAGGCAGGTCTTTGATGCGAGAGGTGACCCATTCTGAATTTTAAATTAATAATGTTTTGATCTGAAAGTTGATAAAGTACAATTCGTTTATCGTTTGACAGTCTAATAACGACTATATAGTCATAAAAAAATATTTGTTTTGACGTTGATAGATAATTATTGGTCTTCTTCAGAATAAAACCTGTCTTTCCTGTTTTTTAGTGTTTTGATAGACCCCTCGGTCTCAGCTGTGCGCTTGTCAGCGGATAGACAGCAGCATTCATTTCCTAACAACATTTCTCATAGAGTGATAAATGACGAAGTAGGTGCTTATCGAATCTGCACCTTTATTTTGAAGCATCTTACACTGTAGCGGCGACTTAACTTTTGAGAATGCTCTCCTATGCGATTCCTCTTTACTTATGCTTGATCTCAAGTAAGGCTTTATCAACAACAAAAACATCGTTCCCAGGGGCAATTTTTACCAAGGAAAACTCGAGATTAAAGGGATCCTCTTTTAAATGGCATGTCACCCCCAGCCAGATATCATGCACTCAAGCTTGCCTCACGAACCCAAGATGCTACTCAACAAACTTCAAAGAAAATAGAGTACATGGTGCCAGACAAGAAGGCATGTGTGAGTTGAACACTGAACACCCATTTGATCTGATAAGTTTGGAAAAGTATTTACATTATGAATTTGGAAGTTTGTACGCTCGATACTCAAGAGACAACCTGGTGAGTTTGATACTTTTCTTTCATTTCTTATTCTTGTCCCTTTTTACCTTTTCTTTTTATTTGAGCTTCATTTTCGGGGCCCTTTACCTTTCCCTAAGATGATTTTGGCCTTAGAAAAAGGCAGAGTCTCTGTGACGCAAATAATCTAGCTACTCTACGGGGTTCAGGACGTAAAATTATTATGAATCGCAGTTTTTACTTCTTCAAACTTATATTCTGTTGTTCCATAAAAGTGGAAGCCATAGGTTTGCTTACCTCACACAGCTACATAGTTAATATTACAGCGATGATGGTCTTAGATTCTTATTGTTAGGGTAAAGAATTTGCAACAGTATAGCTCTGGATCTAACCTGATAATCAACAAAATGACCGTTTTGTATATTTTTTTTTTATCACCTGTGTGTCCCACGCATTATTTAAGTTTTACTCTTTTCATTTCGACTACCTCAGTCATTCTTGGTCTCATTTTTTTCTGGCGGCAATTGCACATTATGTTTTTTAAACCCCATAAATTTATGTCAGGGCAACTTTAATGATCTCTGGACACATAATCTGTAATGCACACAATTATTTGCTTTACATTGCCCACTCAAATCGATTCCGCTTTAAGAAAAGGACAGAGTAAATTCGCAGTAATAGAGAGATTTTCATTTATGGAGTTAAAAGCAGGAACTTTATTGGAAAAAAAAATCCCAGCAATCTGCAGAAACTCGATCGCCTTGAATATCACCTGACTCTCATTAAAATAACTCTTTTTCTTAAACTCACCAAGTTTCTATTTTAAAATAGAGGGAATATAAACAAGATCACTTATTCACAACCGGTGTAGGTTGACAAGAGGGCTAAATGAAAATGGCACATATCGGAAATACTTTGAATAGGAAATTAAATTATTCGGTGTTTTTTTCCTTCCAAATTTTAATGAAACCTTTTTTGTCACCCGCTCAGAACTTAGCAGATATCACAACCACGAACCCCATCTGAAATTTGACTCATTATGGATTACAACATCTATTCAATATAATTTCAACTGAAGAGGTTAGAAATTAAGGCTTTCTGTCGCAAACCCTTTTTTCTAATCCATCCAGGAACATCAAATACGCACAGCATGGAGACGGATCACACAGTTGGGCCTAAAACAAAAAAGTATAAATACATGTATCTTCAAGTATATCTGGAAACCAAAACAAAGATATATGACAACCTTTTTGCCACAATGACTTTCTAAAACATAATTAAAGGGTAAATGAAAGGGTGAAAATTAGGGACCATTTCAGTACAAAAGTTCCAAATGCTCATTTAATATTTGCTCCATTAAAGTGCAAAGAAAAAAGCGTCGAAAACATTCTGTAGTTCCGTAAATATAATTTCTGACTAGAATGCAAAATTTAAGTGATAAACGTGAAACTCAGCCCTTTCACTGTATGTCAATTTGATTCAAAATCGCGATGATAAATGCTCTTTTTTATCAAGTATTTTTTAAGTGGATGAGAAAAAAAGAAAACAAATATTTGACTTTCATAACTAATAGATTTAGTTTAATTATCTTAATTAAAAAAACTGCATTTGTACCAGTCAAAATAGACGTCGTATTTGAATTAAGATTGTTTAGTTTGACTAGAATATAAAAATTTAACGGAAATAGTTCTCTTTTTTTTAGCCAGTAAGAAGCTGGAAAGAAAAATATCATTCTGCCCTCGTGCTGCTGTAGTCAGGAGTTAAAGACTAAAAGAATATTTTACATCCAAATTAAATCCGCCCTGCTTTCAAAAAATAATTGATTTGAAAAAAAAAAGAAAGAAAGAAAGAAATTGCGCATATTTACATATTTTTGATGATTGTGACGCTGTCGCCATTTAGCTAGCTCGCGTGTATATGATTCTGCACTTCGTTAATATTTCGGATTTACAATGTTTCTAAATGGAGGTTTTCGGGAAAATATTTTCGATATATTTTCTTATATTTTATGGGAAGAGTAGATCTTGGGGAAGGCAAATAGGATCTGAAGTCGTTCGCAGGTAATAAACTTCATTTTTGAGGAAAGTTCCATTCATAGTTTAAATTTCGATCTTTTAATGTTGCCTTTATCTCAAATGCATAGTTAGCTCATATTTCCTGTTTAGATTTAACAACCAGGAACTCTGAAATTTTACATTGATAGAATTATAATCCAGTGAAGTCCAACGTAAGCTACCGGCGCTCTAGCCAATTCCACAACTCAATCGTGAATTTGAGATGGAAACTAAAGGGGCCAGCCAAATATGCCGTAAATGACCTAATAAACGCTTTTTTCCACATAAACACCTTCTATCTAATAGCCACCACCTCTACGCTGTTAAAATTGTCTTAGACGCCCCTCTCTAAAAGCTACCGTATGAGAATTGTACTCTAAAATACTAAGAATTGGAAGAAAGGAGCAAAATCATTTCATACATTCAGCTTCTTGCTTGATTAACAAGGCTTTGTGTATTTCGTCTTATTGTTCAATGTCAAGTTCAAAGTAAGGATAGACTGACGATGGTAACACATAATCCCTGAGCGAGGATTCTGACATCGGTGTTGGGATTGTGAAAGAGCGATATGGATCTCTTGACGGCCTAGACGTAACAATTTATGGAATGGATATTCCACTATTTTAAGAGATTCACCACTTGAATCTGACGTTTGCCGTTTGCGGTAAACGTAACTCTAAATCTCTCTAATTTAAGATCCCGCGCCGTCAAGCTGTGAAAGAAATTTTGCTAGCCCGCAATCGATTCTGAAATGAAGAGCTTGCACGCAGGCTAAGGATAAATAACGCTAATTATACTCCCTTTTTTTTTTCGCAAAATTTCCCAATCCACTGGACACCACACTCGCAGGTATATTCTTCGTTTATTTTTACGCAAGCACCACTGTTTTGGCATCCAATCCATCGACAGTCATCCTAAGATAAAATGTGGAGATACACTGAAAAGTCATGATTACATCATCACTATCATTACTTTTTATAAACATAGTTTCTCTTTTGCGGAACGTAGCAATCGCGGGCGGCTACCGTAAATGACCTACATGTAATAAACGCCCTGGGGCGTCTATTTCATTCAAGGGGTCCAAGAAGGGGCGTTTAATAGATAGGACACGTTTAAAAGACAGAGGCGTTTATTCCCAAAACTGTAAAAAGCACAGCAGAAGTAATAAACTTTTGGAAAAAATATCAATAGAACTTAAAATAGATAAAAGGATAAAAGATAAAACTAACGTGAAGCTACGAATTTTGGGATGAAACTAATTAACAGAAAAGTACAAGTTAAGGTAAAACTTGGTCTCTTGGTACAAATTTACGTTTACTGTAAAAGTGAGTCTAAATCTCTTTAATCTCGTTATTTTCAAATGAAGTCCCCTCTGGCAAGCATTTCATTCCTGTTTTGTTGCAGTTCTTATTTACAACTTTGCTCGGGAAAGGTGCAAGAAAATGAAACGGGTTATCATTGAAGCTCATTGAAAGAACAAGAAACGTCACTCGCCTTAGAGACATTTTCCATTAATTTTGAATGCTGGGGTTTATGTCTTAAAAGGCAGGGCGGTTACGTTTGAAGCATATTCCTTGCTTTTTCAGAAAAAAAAAACAAACAAACTAAAAAAAAAAGACATCGTTTTACCGACTGAAGAATTAAGTAAATTGATGGTGTTGTTAGATTGTCCTTATAGAGGTGCCATTTCGTGTTGGATTTACCATTCAAAAAGCTACTATTGAAATTATTTTCTTTGGCTTCAAAGGAAAAATAAATTCATGGCAAATTTAAGGCACTGAATTTCGAACGAATGGACTACTTTACTATTCTCAAGGAAAGGGAAAGCGTAACATAACACACAACTAGGCAGGGATCCTCGGTTCTAAGTAGCTGCGACACGAAATAGGCTCCTGTTTTGAAACATGTTTTGCGTTGTTTTGTAGCTTCATTTGTTTTTATCTCATAACGGGTAAAGAAATTCGATTGATCGAACATGAAACTGTTTCTTTTTCTTTGCCCTCAAAAACACCTCGAATAAAATTATAAATCAGAGACTGCTAAATTTAGAAACAGAAATTAATGATTGGGTAAAGGCTGTCAATTACCAATATCTTGTATTCGGTAATCCCTTTTAACTATATAATGGTAACGGCTTAATCCTCTAAAAAATTGTAACTTAAAAAAGTGTTGAAACCAATACACCCTTAATTCATGTCGCCTTTTATTAAAAATAATTAGCTGGTTACATCTTGATGTCGCCTTTCGCGTTGCAGGCGGCCCAGCGGGCGGCCGTAGGCTTTATTACCTACTTCAATGCGTTACAAATCACAAATGTGAATTCTTCCACCTCATCCCCCGAAATCATCCTACTTCGCTTTTCATAAACACGCGCATTCTGAAGTTCAAAAGCCAACTGACGTTTGCGTTTTTCACTTTTGCTGCCGTCAATCATCTTAAACTGACCTCTAAGAAAACAGAATTTTACTTCAACGGGTTTCAAAAGTCGTCATGGTTTGTGATTTGTTTTTGGTGGATTTTGATCCATTTTGTGTGTTTCAGTGTTTCAAGGTTCGTTGTTTGCGATAAAAACCATGATTGAAGGCAGCGAAAAACGCAATGGTGAAGGTGGCTTTTAAATTTTAGAGTTCGCGTGTTTTTGAAAAGCACAGTAATCCAACTTTTTACAGTTTTGGTTTATAACTAGGGTGGTACAACTTCACGACGCTGGGGGCCACAGGAAAAAATGGTCCAGTTAGTGCTGAAGAATATAAAGGCACTGTACTCCAGGAGGTACAAGTCACGGACGGTGTTCAGGAGTGGCAGGTGCCAGTCAAAGGAAAGTACAATGTAGAAGCTTGCGGAGCATCAGGAGGGGACGGAATTTTGCCCAAGAAAGGAGGCAAAGGAGCAAAAGTCAGCGGCGTAATAACACTGTTAAAAGGAGAGAAGTTAGCCATACTGGTGGGACAAAAGGGATCAACACAGGATAGATTTCATCCAGGAAGTGGGGGTGGGGCAACGTTTGTTTATCGTTCACCGTACCAACATAAATTTATTCTTGTGGCTGGCGGGGGAGGGGGTGGTGGGAAAGAAGCTGGTCTACCTGGGAATGGTTCACCGGCGGGCAGTGGTTCCGATGACACGATAGGCACTAACGGTGGTGGTGGTAAGGTTTGTCGAGATGCAACCTATATACCAGACTCTGGGTCTGGGGCTGGTTATCTTAATAACGGGGGCTGCGTTGAAAATGGTAAGTATTGCGGGACATCGCATTGCAGTAAAGGGGGAATTTCTTTGGGTGAAGGTGGACAAGGTGCCACGAATTGTGATGGTGGGTTTGGTGGGGGAGGAGCTTGTGATAGCTTTCCCGGGGGAGGAGGTGGATATTCAGGGGGTGGAGTAGCAGCTGACAACGTGGCGGGGGGAGGTGGGTCATACAAGGCCGACAACACATGGAAAGTGATAAAAGGAGGCTGTGAAGATGGTGATGGTTACGTTTCCTTTACCGCAGAAGAGTGACTTTTTCTTTAAGCTTGTCTTACTTTAATCTAAACTAAGTCAGCTTGAGCAAGCTTACTATGATAAAATCTTCAGATAATGGAAAATGTTTCGAAATGTATGCTTCTGAAAGCGCTCCCGGGCCCGTGAAATTCCAATTTCGGCACGTTGTTTAATTTGTTTTTGCATTTCTAGTATCACTGGCTGATACTAAGTGACAGGTACAAGAACTGAGGGCGAACATTGAACATCTATCTCAGGACAAAAAAATGGCGTACTCTAAACTCATATTTCCTACTAGTAGTAGTTATTCTACCCCCTATCTAATGAATTTATGACTGGATTGATTTGAAAAAAAAAACAACAACAACAACAAAAACATTCAAACCATAGAAGAAGTTCCAAAGGCTTTTTTTTGTTGTGGCTCCTGTTTATTTTATTACCACAAAGGTGTATGCTTCAGGGAGATTAACTAAAATGCATGGGAATGTGAGAGTAATTCTTGCTACAACTTTTCAAAATGGGCAACAAAAAAGACTAAACCGGCGTCCATCTTTTTTAGAATAGAGGAATTTTTTGTAATACCTTTAAAGCAAACTTTAGCTTTATAGAAACTTTATTATCAAGAAAGAAATACACAATGCATACGCATGCTGCCTACATTTAGCAGACGCTTTTCGAGGCAGGCAGTGTAGGGACGCTACATACGTGAACTGATACATATTGATTTTCAGATGTCCATAAATAAATGGCATTTATTTCTGAAAGAAATTAATGGTTTTATGCTAAATGTGACTGATTAATGTGTCATTTCTGCAGCTGGTAGTTAGTGGTCGTTCCTGCTATGCGGGGCATTGTATGAATGTTTTTAAGACATGACAGCGAGGCACAAAGCCCCTCTGCTCACTGCAACAAGAAAGTTAGAAAATATTTCCCCCTCCACTTCTTTCCCGTTTTGCTCGACTTTCATCATGGCGGGTGTGCCCTCACCTTTGCTGAGATAATCTTCTTGTGTATCCGGATTTTCCTGGCTTTATATGCTTAAATGAAATAAACGGCCACTCTTGTGGCCAATTTTTAAAATTCATCCCAAACTGCGTGGAATTGTCATTATTTGGTATCCCAGCAAACAGAGCTCACCCAAAGCGAGACTCCGCCAAGAGAAATACCTGACTGAATAATTACTATCTAAAGGAACATGAAGCAAAGCAGAAACATCTTGCCTCGAAATTACTGTAAATGTGTGTAGGTGAAGGAAGGAAGGAAGGAAATAATATAAAAGCGATTTACATTATACCAGGAGAAAGAGATAATTAATTAATTCATATTTAGAGATATATAAATTAATTGTTCATTTATCTTTGCCTGAATGTAGCGAAGCGTAATGAAACAAAAGATAAATGGTTTCTTGAATTCCCAAGCACAAGTGCATTTGTCGGCAGTGTGTTTTAAGTGCCGGCGTGAGATTTTGGGAAGAAAGTGTGATATGTAAACTAGCAAGTATATATTCGCTGAACAGTAAACAAGTTTCATTGTGGATTTTTACAAGCGGACAGTTAAATTCTTAGCTCGTTCTTCCTATCTCGTCCATATGGCGCGGGGCCGTCGTGGTCGCCCTGCTTCAGTTCGTTCTCATGTTTCGAGAGTCAACGCGGACATTGAAGACCCTGTTGTCCGGCCGTCCAGGTCAAGAGAACATCGAAGTTCAGGCCGTCGTAGTTCTCGCTCACATGTTGCAGCTTCAAGCGGTTCTGGTCGTAGTGCTTCGCCTTCGCGAAGGAGTGTCCGCGAGCGTTCGCACCGTAGAAGTCGCTCGGCTTCTCGCAGCCCTGAGCCCCCAACGTGGGCGAAGGAAATCTTAAAGGCCTTGGAGACGAAAACGCAAGAGGTCAAGGTTGTCAAAGAACAGCTCGACTCACTAAAACGCAAGTCTGCGGAGGAGAAGCCCGAGTTCAAATATAAGAGTAACAAGAAACAGTTCAAGTTCAAGACTGACGTCAAGGATAAGTTCAACCAGATTTTAGAGAGGGCTGGGGCGGATGACGCCATCACTAAGATTGCCAACGAAGGTATGTCACTCCTTGATAACAGAAATAAGCTTATTTCTATTGCTGACCGGGATGGCTGGGACGTGGTAGAATATTTTGAGGCGGACCCACTCACTAAAAATGACGAAGAAGAAAAGAAACTTCGTGTCGCGCGCAAGGAAGCAGAGAGGTCTCGGGAGAAACGAAATCGGAAAAATAGTCTGAGAAGCAAAATGGGAACTCGTTTTAAGTCTCAGTCTACATCTTCCAAAAGCGGCCCCAGTGCTACTTTTGGCCCGTCACATAGAATCGTGGATTTCCGCCCAGATATCGGTCAGCTTTTGGTTAATCCTGTACCGGAGAAAAAAGCTTCTGTTTATCGCTGCTTTGGTTGTGGCAAAGCAGGCCATTTTATCAAGGATTGTAAAGTTTCCTCTTCCGCTAAGTGACTAGCTGACTCTGATTTTGACGAATTTTCGGATCGCGGCGAGGCTGAACTTGACACGGGCGTTTCCTCAGTATTTTGGATTCGAGGCCGCTTGCGCAAGTTTTTGCATGTTTGGCGTTCTATTGGGGCCTCTTCTTTTGTTCTTAGTGTTATTGAAAGCGGTTATAAGTTACCATTTGTTTCAATTCCATTGAGGTATTTCTTTAGTAATCATAAAAGCGCTGTTGATAATAGAGCTTTTGTTTGTGAAGCTATCGAGCAATTGTTGTTGGCGGGTAGCGCGGTGGAAGTCAAGCGTGACCAAGTTCATGTTTGCAGTCCCTTAGGTGTAGTTCCTAAAAAGAATGGCAAACTTCGATTGATTCTCGACCTTCGCTTTCTTAACAAGCACCTAGCCAAGCGTAAGTTTAAGTTCGAAGACCTTCGAGTCGTGGCGGAAATTCTTCAGCCAGGTGATTGGTTTTTTACTTTCGATCTTCGTAATGGCTACCATCATGTTGACATTTTTCAAGAGCATTGGAAGTATTTGCTTTTTTCGTTTACTTTCGATGGTAAGCCACGCTAGTTTTTGTTTTGTTCGCTTCCTTTTGGTTTAAGTACGTCTCCTTACGTTTTCACCAAATTGTTAAGACCAGTTGTTTCACACTGGCGGTCACAAGGCATTAGGATTTCTGTCTATTTGGACGACGGTATCGGCACCGATTCAAGTAAAGATTCGTGTTCTCAGGAAGCGCAACTAGTGCGAGGCGATCTTGATCGCCTTGGCCTGCTAGTGAATGAGGAGAAGAGCAATTTTGAACCGCGCCAAAAAGGGGAGCACTTAGGCTTTATTTTGGACCTTACCAAAGGAGAATTTAGTATCCCACCAGGCAAGATTGATCACCTGTTTAATCTGATTTCACTGCTTCTTGACGTTGTTTCACCCACGGCTAGGGATGTGTCTCGTATTACGGGTACCCTTATTTCCATGGAGCTCGCTTTAGGTCCAATTGTGCGTTTGCGCACCCGAGCCTTGTACGCAGTCCTTAATAGCGTTCATAGCCTTAGCTGCAAGGTGGCTTTAACGCGTGAAGCTGTAGAGGAACTTAATTTTTGGAGAGATAATTTCTTTCGTTTGTGCGGCAAACCAATCTGGAGGCCCTCCCCGAAGATAGAGCTTTTGTCTTATTCGGATGCCAGCAATGTGGGTTGGGCGGGATTTATTGTTCAATTTGGTACGCACATCGCTAGAGGGAACTGGTTGGGTTCCGAGGCCCTATGCAGCTCTTCTTTCCGCGAGATTCGTGCCATTAGATTTGTTCTTCAGTCGTTTTCCGGTCTTTTGGCGGGTAAGGAGTGCAAGCATAGATCTGACAATCAGAGCGTCTGCAGTATTTTGTCCGTCGGCAGTAGTGAGCCTCATTTGCAAAAAGAAGCGGTTGCCATTTACAATTTGTGCCATGAAGCCGGTATTCGCTTTTCTGCGGAGTGGATACCTCGCCACTTTAATTTCAAAGCTGATTATTGGTCGAAAGTTGTCGACACCGATGATTGGATGCTCAACCCTGTCCATTTTCGCCAGTTGGATATTCTGTGGGGACCCCACACTGTAGATCGTTTTGCGAGTCATAATTCTTTCCAGTTGCCCAGGTTTTGTTCTCGATGGTGGTGTCCTAGGACCGAAACTGTTGATGCTTTTACCGTCAGCTGGGGAGGGGGAAACAATTGGTTGGTCCCCCCAGTGTTCCTTATTCCCAGGGTTATCAATCACATGAAACTGGATAGAGAGCAGGGCACTCTCATTATCCCCTTTTGGCAATCTGCTCATTGGTGGCCGTTGGTGTCTCGAAGCCCCGGGGTTTTCCACCCTTTTGTTCTTGACTGGCGGGAGATTCCTTTACATGAATCTACTTTTCTCCCTGGTTCCGCAGCCGCGGATCTTTTCGGGCATGGTATTCCCTCGTGTAGGGTATTTGCTTTGAGAATTGTGTTTCCTTAGTTTTGCTGTAGAACGTTTTTCGGGTATTAGATGAGTACCTTGAACGAGTTGTTCATCCTAATTATTTGTTTTTGTTCTATCTGAGCCTTTTTGGCCTAGGTGTGGGCCTTTGCTCTTTGCAAGTCAGTGGACTTGGAACTGTACTAGTACGCACGAGTTGTGCAGCTGTAGCAAGCCGAGAGGGCAGTGCCGACACAGTAGTATGTTCATTTTAGAGTCAAGTGGACTCCTCTATCCTTTGTGTGGATTTGCTTACCAGTTGACGCCGAGTGGGCCAAGCCTCCATGCGCTGGAGTGTGTACTGGTGCTGTGTTAACTTGCCATGAGGGCAGTTTTCGTTGCAGACGATGTGTATCTTGCGCGTTTAGTGTTCTGTAGCAATTGGATGTTGTTCCTGTTAAAAGTGCCGTGTTTTGGACATTGTTGATTTTCACGTTAGGCTTGTCGCCTTACCAACGAAGTAACGCGGAGATTCAGAGGCTTGTAGGACTATAAAAGACTGTCACACTTAATGACTGTGCTGCTTCAACCATGTCTTCTCCTGCAGGGGCAGCGAATCGATGGATTG